TCTCTCTCTCTCTCTCTCTCTCTCTCTCTCTCTCTCGCTCTCTCTCTCTCTCTCTCTCTCTCTCTCATGCACACACACGCACACACACACAACCACGCGTCGTCACCTTGCCTTGCGGCGCGTGCGTGCGTGCGTGCGTGCGTGTCTGCGCGTGTACGTTCGTATCTGCGTGCGTGCGCGCACATCCCCGCTTCGTCATCACCTGCGAGCACGCACGCGCACGCACGTCGCCGCGCAGCCGCGTGCGTCTCCCCTCGCACGCGCACGCACAGCGCGTGCGACCCAACGCATGCTCGCGAGGCATGCAGGCAGCGGGATTGTGCGCAGCGTGCGTGAAGCGAGTGAGGGGTGAATCCGTGGTCACAGCGTCCGCATCCTCTCTTCCTCCTCCTCCTCGTCGTCATCGTCATCGTCATCTAGAGAGCAGCAGCTCGGGTGTTCGTCGTCGTCGTCGTCGTCATCTTCATCGTATGCCGGACACGCAGAGATGCGATTTCGTAACCACGGTATATGTGTATAAATAAATAAATAAATATATATATATTTTTATATATCTATACATATTTATATATATGTATATATATATATATATATTATATACACTGATGGTGATTGTGAATTCGGCGGCCGCAGCGTGTTTTTTGTGGATCTAGCGTATGCGGTGGCGCTGGCTATGGCATCGCTCACATGTGCACGCATGGCGCGTACGTACGTGCGTGCGTACGTGCGTGCGTGCGTGCGTGCGTGCGTGCGTGCGTACCGTGCTGAGAATACGAGGATGCCTCGTGTAGGCGCACAGAATGCTAAGGATGAGATGTTTTTTTGCGTGTGAGCTTGTGTTACGAATAAGAAGATACGTTGTGCGTGTGTGTAGTGTTATAACGATACGAAGCTGTCTTGTGCAAACATACAGTGTGCGTGCACGCAGTGTTCAGATGGCGTGTGCGTGCACTCAGTGTTCAGATGGCGTGTGCGTGCACTCAGTGTTAAGATGGCGTGTGCGTGCACGCAGTGTTAAGATGGCGTGTGCGTGCACGCAGTGTTAAGATGGCGTGTGCGTGCACGCAGTGTTAAGATGGCGTGTGCGTGCACGCAGTGTTAAGATGACGTGTGCATGCACGCAGTGTTAAGATGGCGTGTGCGTGCACGTAGTGTTAAGATGGCGTGTGCGTACACGTACGTGTACACCCACGTGGGTGGTTGGTGGTTGTGCGTGCGTGGTTGGTGGTTGCGTGTGGGTGGTTGGTGGTTGCGCGTGGGTGGTTGGTGGTTGCGCATGGGTGGTTGGTGGTTGCGCGTGCGTGGTTGGTGGGTGTGCGTGGTTGGTGGTTGTACGTGGGTGGTTGGTGATTACGCGTGGGTGGTTGGTGGTTGCGCGTGCGTGGTTGGTGGTTGTGCGTGGTTGGTGGTTGTACGTGGGTGGTTGGTGATTACGTGTGGGTGGTTGGTGGTTGTCCGTGGGTGGTTGGTGGTTGTGCGTGGTTGGTGGTTGTGCGTGCGTGGTTGGTGGGTGTGCGTGGGTAGTTGGTGGGTGTGCGTGGTTGGTGGTTGTACGTGGGTGGTTGGTGATTACGTGTGGGTGGTTGGT